AATATGTCTCCTATTTTTATCAATAGAACAACATACTAAAAGCACATGTAAATCGGAGAGATTCACTTGTTTATGTTCCCTTGTTAGTTCTCTTAGTTGTAAAGGGTGGGCCATCTATTGGTACGTTTTTGAATTTCGTGAATAAATTGGGGTGACCGAATGGCATACTGTAAGGCCAGTAGAGGGAGCCACATGAACGAAATCGTTTTTCATTCTTGACGCGGATACTTTTAGCTTCACAACAAAAAAAAAATTAATAAAAAATATCAATGTATGCTCATTTGATCGCATTTTTAAAAACGTACCAATAGATGGCCCACCCTGTAGAAATACCCCATATATCCGATTAGATTAACATATTATGAGGATCATTTCAGCTTCAAGTTACAATAGACAGTATAACACAACAACCATATTATATTTGTAATCAAATTTGTGAAATTATAAACGACGTAATGATGAGTCATGAATCCAAGTTCTTTGATTAATAGCAAGAAAAAGTAGTTAGTATGAGTAAAAGAGAAAATTTCAGTAACTATTGTTGTAGCTTGATATCAAATTATATAAGATAGTTATAAATCCTTCCTTAATAATGTTGATAGATTAACTAAATAGAATAAAACAATATCGTCAAAATTGAAATTTGAACATATTTTTAAAAATTAAAACAATAAAGATAAATATTTATAAATAATAATTTATAAATGTATGTGTATTTCGCATTCGTAATATATAGCTAATAGATAGCTACAAACTCTTACCAATATATATAATTTGTATTTGCCTTTATGACTACTGTAAGTGTTGCATAATCTTTACTCTCAATTCCCTCCATAATAATGATGTATAACTTCATTTAATTTGTTTAATTTAATTTGTTTATATATAAATTGAATCAAAAAGCATCAGAATATAAATAAAATTGTTTATATATAAAATTGTTAATAAATAAGTTTTAGAAATGAGTCTTTTATTGTAATTTGCTTCAATATTCTAACATTCTTCCAATCGAAACTATGGTTGTATTTCAATACATTCCCAGAGTTGGGTAAGTTAACTTTTTTTTTAACTAAGTTAAAGTTAACCTTAAAAATTTAACTTAGTTAAGATACAAGTTAATTTATAATAAAATTAATTAAATTAAAAGTTAATTTATTAATTTATTTATTTTTTTATTTCATGATTCCAGGGTTTCAGTCTTACAAATAACGGAAATGATAAATATATACTTCATTTAGAAAAAATACTCTATATTCTATTTATATGTTTTGTTCATATATACTGTTTATATACATATAGACTATTATATATACTGTTTGAATATCACACATATACTTATTAAATTGTTCACATATACTTATTAAATTTAAGTAATAAAGCTATTTCGAAATTTTTGTCGGACATCTTTTCTCGCAAGTTATCGAAAATGAATACTGAACAGCCGATCAACGTGAGCCCACGAGAGCCAAAGATGGTATTGGTGGTGTTATATTTTAATAATAAGGAAATATAGATAATATTTAATAATAAGGAATAATAGATTTCAACTTGTAAGAAACTAAACATCAAACGATTTCTGACAGATTAAAATCTGGAGATCGATTGTGTAATTTGAAATGAGATAAAAATTATAAAAGTGAGCAAATTCACTAAAATATTTATAATTTCATTAGTTAACACCTAGTAAATTTGCTCACTTTTGCGATTTTTACCTTATTTTAAGCTATTGCCGCGCATTATGTCTGAGACTTGACTTAACAAAAAAATTAAATAAAAAATTAATAGTTACGGATAAAATGTAACTAAATAAAGTTAAGAATCTAAATTGTAACTAAGTTAAGTTAAAATTAATTAACTTTTTATCTTTTTAACTTAATTTTTATCTTTTTAACTTAGCGCTACCCAACATATTCCGTTATAAACGAATGTCTAGATGAGTCAAGTTTTATATTATTATACTATTTATTCTGGTATATATTGAGTTTCCCCTTCGTCTGCCTCACGAAAGAAACGTCGCAATTGTTACATTAAATCTTATAAACTACATTATTATTTTTTTACAGAATATACTTTTTTATCTTTATGCGCTTTTATAAATTTATTTAATTTGTTGATGCATCTGTAACCTATACTATAGATTGATTTACTAACCATGCATGTAGCGGACTGTGTGATACTACGGATGAACGGAAGTACAAAAAATTTTTTGTTATTAGAGATTATTTTAATATTAACATAGACATTGTTGTGATCGTTCTTGCGTAGAATTTTTATTGCGAGCAACTTTTTTATTCTTGTATTGAACAATTTAAATATTAATTTTAACGGGTATCCGTTGTTCAAAAGAATTTAAATGCACATTTCTAAGTTCTTTTCGTAAGAAAGTACGATGTAAGAACGTAAGATGTGATAACAAAACTGCTCGATCCACTAGACTATATACGGTATCAATTTATGGCAAAGGCTATGGTCCATTTGATGCCACAAATGCTTCGAAGCATTTTTTGATTGGTCAGTTAATAAAATTCTTTCTTCCCATTGGTCAATCAAAAATTTTGAAGCATTTGTAGTGTCAAGTGGATCGAACTTATAGGGAATGAGATTAAACAAATAAGAGAGATCTAGCCGAATACGTCTTTTTTTGAAATCAATCCACCGTTATCACACCATCCTCCATTATAAGTAATAGGTTTAAAAAACCTTATGCTATGGTTCTCTTCACATTCAATTTTAATCGAATGTGTATGCTATTAAAGATCTTATAGATAGACGAAATCTGATCGGAGGGGGCCGCCATTATTATGTCATCCACGTATACGGAAGTAAAATGAAAAATTAACATTGAGTACATTCAAAACTTTTTCCTCAAAATCCTATAGAACAATGTTAGTCACAATGGGAGAGAAAGGAGAACCCATTGGTGTACCAAACGTCTGTTTGTATATAGCGTTATTGAATTTAAAAAATACGGAAGATGATATAAATTCAATCGCACATATAAATTCTGTCTTAGGAATCAATGTTTGTTGCTCTATGTATTGCCATCTTCTATTAATACTCTCAATGATCAGATCTTGAGGAGAATGTAGATAAATAATGACGTGACATCCAAAGAAATTAATAATTCCGAATCATTGATTTTTTACCTGACAGTTGCTTGTACAGATCAAAACTATTAGGAGCTCTTCGACAATTGTCAGGCAGTTATTAGCAATAATTTTGTGTAGAAATACAGCTAAACTATCTTATATAATTTGATATCAAGTTACAACAATAGAGTTACTGGAATTTTCTTCTTTACTCATACTGACTGTCCTTTTCGTTATTAACCGAAAAATTGGTTTGGATACATGACTCATACATTGTCTATAATTTGACTAAATATAATATGGTTGTTCCGTTATGCTATCTATTGTAACTCGAAGATGAGATGATCCTCATAATATGTTAATTGGATAAAGTAATTATATATTTTTACGGCTGATGAGGACTAAGTCGAAACGTACCATTGAAACTTATCGTTAAAAATTATAGTTGTGAATAATAAATATTACATTGTTACCTAATTATAGTTCGTTCAATTTGTTGACCTGGATGTTATTATTTATTAATCTGTTAAAATATATATAAAATATAATTTAAAAGGCAAAAATAATTTAAAAAATACAAAACATATATCTGGGGTCATTCCGTTACCGCAATGAAGTCAATAATTACAAAAGTAAGACACAAGTTCAGGTGTAACAGTGGTTAATTGACAGATTGACCAATGTATACACTAGTCATTCTGATAAAACAATGATTAAAGCTGTCAAGAATAGACTCACATTAAGTTATAGAATTATGTTGCCTCTTGATCTCAGTTTTATCATACTGTGTATAAATTTATTGATTATTTATTTATATATTTATCTTCTTTGTTTGATCTTAGACTGGTAGGTCTTACTCTGTAATAAGCGCTCGGATTTACATTACAGTTTCAATATTGTGTGTGTGTGTGTGTGTGTGTATAAGATATAAACACAATAATAATTTCACTGATTCGGTTTTCACGTAAGTCGATTTTATATATTTTACATAAGTCTGAGATACAATGATTATATGTATATCTTTCTTATAATATAATTGATTAAGATACATAATATCTGTTGTTATACAATTAGTGACTACTATTTATTATTTCTATAGTTTGACACATAATTTATTGGAACATCACAATGATTCAGCTTGAATCATTATTTTATCAAAACAACTGATGTTACACATTGGTCAATCTGCCAACTGACTCGACTTGTTTACACTTTTTACACTCAGCATCTTTGTTTTCTCTCTTTTCAGCCAAATATTGTATATCTATCTCATTTTAAGTGTAAAATGTGTAAAAAAGTGTAAGCAAGTCGAATAAACCAATTGTCACATGTCTTACTTTTGTAACTACTGATTCCTTTGCAGTAATAAAATGTGTTTCATAGATATATGTTTCATGCTATTATATTTTTAATTGTGGCAAATCAACTCTAATTTATGTATGATAATATTAATATACAACAAGAGTTTAATGATTATTACAGTCAAAGCTGGATCTAGATGCTTTTGAATCATTTTTATGTGAAGGATGCCAGATTAAGCATAAAATCCTAGCAAAAATCTAAAATCCAATTTCGACTATAATAGGCATTAAACTCTTGTTGTGCATTCTAATATTATATATATTGTAATTTATAATGTATAATTTATTTAATTAATTAATATTTTCGCATTGAGAAAGACCGAAAACATTGGTTGGAACATATGCGGATTAATTTTGATAAATAAATAAATAACTTTGTGCATCAACAATCGCCTAGGCTCTTAATTGGCTTTTTTATCCCTCTTTAGTTGATTTATTCTCAAAGCCCTACATGTTTTTAAGTAATATTAATAAAAAATTTGTATCTGTTTTCTACGTATAAAAAATAGTAAACAAATCTTGAAAATAGCTTAAAAACAATGTTACGTACGTCGATTTTTTTGAAGTATTTTTATATCGTCAGAACTTGAAAGATCTTTGGTTATAGCGACGAATCCTAGTCAATCCTACCCAGTCCTACCGTTCGTACGATTTAATTATTAACAGGACGCTTACTCGCTGTGATAATTCACTGGAGAATCATATTGTTTTTCTATAATGTATACAATCACTACTAACTCCTACATCACCTACGAGGTACGAAACTGCCATATTGATCAAGTTGCATGTTGGGCATAGATGGTTAAATCCATGGTAGAAATTAGAGTACCTATAATAAGAATACAGCTTATAAGTAACAATCGATGATTGGTCCGCCAAATTGAATCAAAAGCAGAAGTGTACTATTAGTGTATAGTGCAATGCATAATAGCGGCCCGACTTATCGAAATAAAAAATGCAGTACTAAAAAGTTGATAAAAAATTCTGAAAAAATTTTTAGACCAACTATTCATAGTCGATTTCTTATTTTAAGGCCGTCTGAAGTAATGTCATAAGTCGCTAATGCGGTCCTCTGATTGGTTCGTGATTTCTTAACTATACTTAAAACAGTCTTGAATATAAGATCTGACTATGAATACCGGCTTTAGAGTTCTACGAGAAGAAAATAAATGATTTTTGTCTCTTGCAGGTTTTCTATAAAGTTGATAGTATTTGAATAAAAAATAAACGTCGATAAGTTGGGCAGCTACTATGACTCAGCGAATTAATGCACTGCGCACATACATCCAAGGATTCCGATTCTTTCCCTCGAAAATTCTCACAAACTGAGAAATGATCACTTTTCATTAATGCTCATAATTCGTGTGCGGTTAACGACACGACGAGATAGGATCTGAGCACAAGAATTATCGTAACACTTACTTAGACTTAAAATTAAATTGTAGACATAAGTAACGCACAAACTTTCACGTATAACGTACAACTTATTGCCATGTCTCCAAAAGGCGGCAATAAATCATACGCCAAAGCTTGTGCTCAGACCCATACTATTAACCGTCAACCCTGGACAAGTTTTCGATGATATAAAAAGGATTTCAAGGGCGCGGAGATAATTAAAGAACGCTGACACTATCGACAATTAATATAAATTTGCTATAGTAACATAAATATTTGGCTAATATACATTATTAAATTCATAATTCTTTAGAAGGTTAAGTAAAAAAGGAGCATACAGCCTCACTCGAGATGTCAATAAGTTATATATTAATAATAAACATTCAACAAAGTAGACGTTTCGGTCACCATCTGACCATCTTCAGTACAATAATAAAAACCTAAACCGGGGTGAATTGCTTAGAGTAATAAAATGATTCCACACAACAAATTAAAGAAGAATACTGGACGGTCTACTGTTAATTCTGTCAAAAATCATTGCAAAATGTTATATTGTTAAATGCGGATACCGAGGCGAATAATGCACAATAAGAAGTGAAAAATTATTACTGACTAACAATAGGAATAAATTTAAATTATGTAACTAGGTTTAAATAAATTTAGGTTTATTATTGTACTGAGGATGGTCAGATGGTGACCGAAACGTCTACTTTGTTGAATGTTTATTATTAATATATAACTTATTGACATCTCGAGTGTGACTGTATGCTCCTTTTTTACTTAACCTTCTTAACATTGAGCCACTTTATAATATTGAAAATTCATAATTCTTTATTATATAAATGCTCCATAAATAAATATGTATATTTGTAAAACTACAATATTCTATATATATTGCCAAAAAATTACAATCTTTTTTTTGCAGTTATTGAGAGCAGTGCAATCGCGCACTGTACCAATTGCCCACTGCCAATCACAGTGACATCTGCGTAGGGAATTTAGAGTTATTTTTTTTTAACGCTGTGATTGGCTTGTGCGCAATTGGATCGTGGACAATTACTATACAATCGCAGTTATTATCTCTAGCCTAGTTTCCATCGAGGGTTTAAACGGGATCAGAATGTAAGAACTAACTACAATCGAATATTTCTCTGTTACAGTCGAACGACAAAGGAATGTTTGACTATAGTTGGTTCTTACATTCTGATCCGATTTAAACCTTTGGTGGAAACTAGGTCTCTGTTGATAATCGAATTTTGGCCGATATTCATAATCAGTTCTTATTTCAAGTAATATCTTAAGACTAATGCGGTCCTGTGATTGATTCGTGACACCTTAAGACAGAATTTAAAACGGTCTTGAATATAAGAACCGACTATGAATACTGACCTTTGATGATAACACTAAAATTATAATTTTAAAGAAAAATCAAGTATTATTGAATTCTAAATGCATAAATACGTCTATTAAACTAATAAATTATAAAATTAGTGCAAGTTATCAGTTTTTTATCTCTTAATCACTTCAATATTCACAAGGACGCGAACTCCCATAAGAATGTCAGTCTTTAAAGCCGGTTCTACATTAGTTGCAAGTTGATCGCAAGTTTGTTGCGATTAGCTTACAACTAATATAGAACCGGCTTAATAGTATCTCATCGGTAGTGATGACTAATCCGGCCGGTTGTTCTACCTTTTGGTAAATTTTTTCTGTTGGGTAAGTAGCAAGATTACCCAATCACATGCGCGAATTGTCAGATTTACCTCACAGGTAAAATTTACCAAAAGATGGAACAAATGTCCTAAATCTTACGTCCGCTTGAATTAAATCTTACGAACTGACGAAATAATCTGAATTTTTGGAAGTTTTAATCTTTATCCTACTAGGGATGTGTTCGTAAACGTTACCCATAGGGTAAAAGTGTCTCTGACCAGAAAGAAACCTGAGAGAGGCAGAGGACATGAGGGCCCAAAACCTGTAATCGTAAAATGCTGTCTTGCTCTACTGTCAAAGTCTGACAAAGTGGATGTAAACTACTAGTCCAAATATTGTGACGAAATTAAAAGATGTTTTGGGACCAAGGGTATAACATTACATCCATATGATCTTAGTGTAGAACATCAGGTACAAATTATTTTGCATACGTATACATATATATATAT